AAGTTTCTGTTCATTTCGACGCCCCATTTTTGATGTGGTTCGATGTTTTCTTCTTGTGGAGTTCAACCAGTACTTTGTATATCCTTGATATCAACCCTTTGTTGGATGTCTATTGGGTGAATATCCTTTCCCATTCTGTAGACTGTCTTTGTACTTTGGTTACTGTTTCTTTTGAGGTGCAGAAGCTTCTTAGTTTAAAGTAGTCCCATTTATCTATCTCTGTTTTCACTTGCTTGACCAGTGGCATGACATCTTTGAAGATACCATTCGCTTCGATGTCATGGAGGGTTTTGCCAACCTTGTCTTCAATGTACCTTATGCCATTCTGACAATACTTATGGATTCCCGTCTGATGTTGAGGTCTTTAATCCATTTTGATCTTACTTTTGTACATGGTGTTAGGCAGAGATCTGAGCCCACTGTTTTGCATGTAGCTGTCCAGTTTTGCCAGCACAATTTGTTAAAGAGGCTTTCCTTGCTCCACTTCACATTTCTTGCTCCCTTCTCAAAGATTAGATGATCATATGTTTGGGGGAAGCTGTCAGTATATTCAACTCTGTTCCACTGGTCTGCAGCCCTGCCTTTGTTCCAGTACCATGCTGTTTTAATTGTTACTGCTTTGTAGTAGAGTTTGAAGTTAAAGAGGCTGATTCCTTCCATTTTCTTTTTCCCAAGAATTGCTTTAGCTATTCTTCGGGGCTTATTGTTCCATACGAATTTCAGGAGTGTTTGCTCCATTTTTAGTTGAAAAATGTCATGAGTATCGTTATAGGGATCACACTGAATTTGTACAATGCTTTGGGAAGTATTGCCATTCTGACAATGTTAATTCTCCCGATCCATGAGCAGGGGATATCTTTCCATTTTCTCATGTCCTCTTTTATTTCATGAAGTAGCGTTTTGTAGTTTTCTTTGTACAGGTTCTTTACTTCCTTAGTTAAGCTGATTCCTAGGTACTTGATTTGCTGGGGCACAATTGTGAACGGGATTGTTTTTTTCATGTCACTTTCTTCTCTCTCACAATTTGCATATAGGAAAGCCATGGACTTTTGGGTATTGATTTTATAGCCTTCAACTTTACTATACAAGTCTATTGTTTCTAGGAGTTTCTTAGTAGAGGTTTTAGGATTCTCTAAGTATAGTATCATATCATCTGCGAATAGTGAGAGCTTGATTTCTTCCGTTCCTACCTGAATGCTCTTAATATCTTTTTCTTGCCTAACCGCCATTGCAGTACTATTTTGAAAAGCAGTGGAGAGTGTGGGCATCTTTGTCTCCTCCCTGATCTTAGTGGGAAGGCTCTCAGTTTTTCCCCATTGAGGATGATGCTTGCTGTAGGCTTGTGGTAAATGGCTTTAACTATATTGAGGAAAGTCCCCTCTATCCCCATTTTGGAGAGGGTTTTCATCATAAATGCCAAGAATTACTCCTGGCAGTGCACAGGAGACTCTATGGGATGCTGGGAATCAAACCTGGGTCAGCTGCATGCACAGGCAGGAAATGCCCTACCAACTGTGCTATCACTCCAGCCCAAAACTATATTATTTGTAATATATTTGTTTGGATGATAGTTCTATGATTCACAACACTGTTCTTGGTGCTTTCGCGGACACATAATTCCAACACCACACATATCACCATTGATTTTCTATAGCATTAGTGTTGCGGGAAAGAATTTACAAGGGACTTGGCCCGACCTCCCAGCTCTGGGAGCTGCGGGGCCCAGAGTGAAGAGAGGGGTTACTCTTGGCAGGAAAAGAAAGGCAGGCCTAAGTCTGACCAGGAATGCTGCCTTCCCTCCCAGAAAAGAATTTCAGAAAGAGACAAATAGTGAAGTCAAAAAGTTTTAACTTAGAGTTAAAGGGGAGAGAGAAAGAGAGGAGAGAAGAGAGAGAGAAAGAGAGAGAGAGAAAGTGAATGAGAGAGAGATGCATTCAAGAGAGAACTTGGGCTTTTTTAGTCAGCCACCCTATATTACCCACCCCATCCCCCCCACACACACAGTATTGGGGGCACGATACTGGCCTTGCGGAATGATTGTATAGGTGTGGGATTTTCAAACCACCATGTGTGGGATTTTCACCCTAGATTTAAAAAATACCTTGGTATTGTTGTTTTGTTTTGTTTAATTTTCAGTTTGCTTGTTTTTGTTTTGGGACCACACCCCGTGGTACTCAGGATTTACTTCTGACTCTACACTCAGGAATCTTTCCTAGTGGGGCTCGGATGACCACTTGGGATCGGACTGGGGTCGGCCCTGTGCAAGGAAGGGCCCTCCCGCTGTGCTATAGCTTGGGCCCCAACATTTGAAACTTTCGATGGTCCATCTTCATTTCCTATCACATTCTTCTGCTGTATCTTCTTTCCAAAAAGGGGTCCAGCCTTTACTGGACCTGGGCTGGTGCCAGTTAGAGTCTTATCAGGCCTTAGTTCCTGTGTCCACAAAGTGGGTCCAGCCATAATATGTTTTTCTACTTTAGAGTTGGAGAAAGAGTCACTTCTTCAAACCCCATCTTGGTTTCATTACTTCCCAAGAAGTCATTGCCCAGAGTTCCTGCTGACAATCTATCTACTACTTCATTTTGTTTCCACTTGGGGTGTGGAGGGGGCCATACTTGACAACACAGTGCTCAAGAGTTATTTTTCATTCTGTGCTCAAGGATTGCTCCTGGTGATGCCCAGGGAGCCACACGAGGCGTGGGGGATGAACCTGGGATTGGGCCCACATAAGGCAAGAACCTTAAGCCCTGTTCTATCTCTCCAGCCTACATATGACTTCCTTGGTGCAAAAGTTACTTGAGGTCCTAGAAGTTCTGAAAAATCTTTGGGAGCTAGAGAGACAGTACATTCAGTAAGGTGATGGCCTTGAACACATCAATTGGGTTCCATCCCCAGGTCCTCTGACCCCTGCCACGAGTGCTCACTCCCCTCCCCCCCAATAAAAAAGAAAAAGAAACTTTTACCACTCCTCAACTACAGCCAAGAATAAAAATTACCCCAGATTTGGACTTTTTACAATGACCTATCAAAGTTACTTGAGGTCCTAGAAGAAAACAATCTATTTGACAGAGAAAACATATTTGGTCTTGTTTTTGTTTTGTTTTGTTTGGGAGGGTGTGCTCAGGGATCACTCCTGGCAGGAATCACATATGGTGCAGGGGATAGAACCAAGGTCAGCTGCGTGCAAAGCAAGAGTCCTGCCTTCTGTAATTCTCTCTGGCTCATGCTGTTCTTTTAGACATAAACAGTTCCACAGACTTCCAAGCCCAGATCATGTTTCCCTGAGACTCTGGAAAAATGCAGCAAACCAGCAACAAACCAACAGGAGCCTAGTGCCACCGATGAAAGCCCACTTTCCCTCTATCGCCGCCAACATCGGAAACTGCTGCTTCTTTGCAGTGATAGCTGAGTCTCGCCTCTCCTTAGAACCAGATAAGTGTATTGAGAGATGAGGGTGTGTGGCTTCATCGTAGAGCACATACCGGCATGGGTCCAATCCCCTGAGGTTGATACCAACCACAGCCTCCAATGCCTCAGACCCTTCCCCCAAATCACCAACTAAGCCCCAGTGCTTTCTCTCCTTTCTAATACTGACATACACCCCCCCACAGCTCCCAGTGGTGTGGCCAGAATATGTGGCCACCCCCAGCAGTCCTTCGTGGCAGCTCCCAACTTAGTGCTCAAGCACTGCTCCCGGCTATACTCCGGGACCATGAATACTGGGAAGCAAGCCTGCACCCCAACCTGTTTAGCTAATTCCCTGATACCGTGATTTATAGTACAAAATCGTATTCTTTATTTACCCTTATTCCTAGCACAGGGAACCCCAGCAAGGGCTTTTTCTAATTTATCTTTGCTTCTTTTGTTGTCTGATTGGTTTCCGTGGGGAGGGAGTTTGGGGCACACCAGCCATGCTCAAGGCTACTTCTGGCTCTGTACTCAGGGTCACCAGCAAGACAAGCACCTTCACCCAATACTATCTCTCCAGCCCTGGGAAGTTTTCTTGGTTCTGTGAAGGAAGCACTTTTGGGAAAGTCGCTAAATCACTCAGGTTGTGAAGGTCATTTGTCAAGGGAAACCAAAGTAAACAAAGGTTGCATCTTCCAGACCTCCCCGGATTTGCCCAGGGCTTGACCCAATAATTCACCAAGGGCCTATGTACTGAAGCTCCAGAACACTCAGACTGTCTGGTCTGAGAGAGCCTCTGAGCTGGGGGACGCGTGGAGACTTGAGAGGATGGGAAGTAGCTGAGCCAGAACAGGGCAGGGCTCAGACGGCTTCCCTTTCTAGGTTCTGCTGCAACCCTTCAGCTGACTCTTAACCCCTAATCTTCAAGACGCTTCTGCAGAGCCTGGACCCAGAGCATGGTACAGCGAGGAGGGTTGCCTTGCACGCGGCCAACCCCGGTTTGATTTCCAGCATCCATAGTGTCCCCTGAGCACCGCTGGGAGTAATTCTTGAGTGCGGAGCCAGGAAGAACCCCCGAGCTGGGCAGTTTTGACCAAAAAAGAAAAAAATACAAAAACAATATCCAAAGAACCCTTCCTAAGGAAGGAAGAACCATAGTAGGAAGGTTCTGGAGAGAGCATATTGGGTAGAGGGTTTCCCTTGCACGAGGCTGTCTGGAGCTAGAGCCCCATCATCCCACAGGTGTGCCCTAAGCCTTCCAGGAGCGACTTCTGAATGCAGAGTCAGGATTAAATCCTCTGACTGTGCTATCGTTCCGGCCCCATGTTTCTAAGAGTATAAATGATTGTTGAAAGAGTCTACGACAACCACGGTGAGCTTTGGGCAGCTGGGGCGCTGTGGACAGTCACAGAGAGTGTCACTGTTACTCCTGGTATCTATGAGCCCAAAGACACGGAAGAGTCCTTCCATCCTGTGTCTCCTCCTTTCAGGTCCATAATGTCACTATGGTTCCCGTAGGTGCAAGCAGGGGTGGGCTCAGCGACTGCACCCGTGTGAGGCAGGCTGGGTGGGTTTGCAGGCGCACACGCAACTCACAGACCTCCCACCTTGAACGCACGCTCCATACTGCGATACCGCAGACGGCCAGCAGGGGGCGGGACCACCACGGCAAAGGGGCCACACGCGCTCCAGACTGCAATACCGCAGACGGCCAGCAGTGGGTGGGCGCACCGCGGCAAAGAGACCACACGGGCTCCGAACTGCGATACCGCAGACGGCCAGCAGGGAATGGGTGAACCGCTGCGTAGGGGCCCGAGGCATCCAAACAGGCCTGTGGGGTCCCAGGCATCTTCCATCCGAGCGATGTCCATCGGGGTTAGAATCGATTTACTGCGGGGAGGGCGCTTGTCTTGCACGAGGCCTACCAGGATCCACCCCCCCCCCCGCACCCTAAGGACGCCCCAAGGGGACTTGGGAGTGACCCTGAGCGCAGAGCCAGGGGTTGGACTCGAGATCCAGGGTGTGCACGTCAAACAAAATATTTTGAAAAAAAACAAGATGGGAGGAGTGGGCAAGCTAAATAGATAAAGGTGGGGGGCAGGGGTGTAACTGGGCGGCGGAGCACCGGCCTTGCAGGTCTGAGTCCACGGATTTGATTCCAAGCTCCTGGATCAGGCACCAGAGTCACCCACCCCGCCCCCGGAACTCACAGTTTTAACTGGGAGGAGGGTTGCGGGAGGCAGGGGCGGCAGGAGGCTGAGAGATGCAGGAGGAGCAGGAGCGCAGCCTTCCTCACAGGCCACAGAACCACGCCCCCAGCACCCCCAGAGTCGTGCCCTGAGCACTGCAGGTGGGAACAAAAGGAAAGAAACAGTGGGATACTGTGTATTCGACCCTGACTAGCCTCAGGCTCCCTTCTTATTTTATGTCACTGTCAATGTCTTCTCATTGTTCATCAATTTATCAATTTTCCTCAGAAACATTGTGAGACTTGTTACTGTATTTGGCATAACGAATACATCACAGGTAGCTTGCCAGGCTTTGCCATGCAGGTGACATACTCTAGGTAGCTTGCCAGGCTCTCCGAGAGGGGCGGAAGAATCAAACTCTAGTTGGCCGTGTAGGAAGCGTGCAGGGCAAACGCCCTACCATCTGTGCTATGTATGTAACTTTTGCCTGTTTACTTTCTTGGTAAACTCTGCCCCACGTTTTTGGGGTATGACCCAAGGCATGGCAGCAATTTGGGGGTACCTGGAAGTCTGAAGGCGCCATCAGGCTGCTGATGCACTTGCCTCACAGCTACAGACTGACCTGCTGGTGGCACCATACCCCCAACCCAGTGCTTCTTACAGTTTACTCTTGCCTCTGCACTTAGAGACTGCTCCTACCAGGGCACAGATGACTGGATGAGATTCCTGCGATTGAACCCAGATCAGCCACATGCAAGGTAAGAACCCTACTCACTGTACTACCTCTTTAGCCCAAGATAAACACTTTTAAGAAAATGGTATACAGGCACAGAGCAATAGTTCAGCTGGTAGGGCATGTGCTTTGGCCAATCTGGCTTCAATCTCTGACGTTCCGTATAGTCTGCCCAAGCACTGTCAGGAGTGATTCCTGAGTGCAGAGCCATGAATAATCCCTAAGACATCACCAGGTGTGGCACAAACATAAAGAAACTAAAAGAAATTGGTGTATCAGAATTCCATTGTAGCAACTCTTTGACTTATTTGACTCTATAGTTCTTGATTGCTAGCCAAAAATCTTTTATAAATAAACCGGAGAATAATCAGTTATCACTGGCAAAAAGGAAATAATTTTATTCAAGTAGATATAGAACATTGTTTGCTCAAATTTTAATACTGCTTTACATAGTTTGTGAAACAATTTCAATCGTGTTTATTACTCAAAATGTCAATGGATTACAATCTTTCACTGGTGAGACACTTGATAATCTCCAGAGGAAAATACATCAAAAGCATATATACAATTATAGAAGTTCTTATAATACATGTAGCCCTGATGATACATTATTTATCACGTTTTACAGAACTAGAAAACATACAAATGAAGATAAATACATTCAGACTGGATGATCACCTTCTGATGGTTCAGGTCCTTCATTTAATTTTTTCTGATAAGAAAATCCAAAATTATTAATGTTGAATTTCTCATCATACATTCATCTAAAACCACAGTGGAAAAAAAGTAAACTTTGTAAAGACAGTAAATTGGTTATTTTAGGTGTTTCACAAGTACTTGCTATCTAATCCAGGAACTGCTGGAGATTTCTGCACAGTGCAGAGAATGAGGTGGCCGGGCCGAAGTTGTTGCTGTCGTAATTGTTGAGGTCGTCCCCGTTCCCTTTGAGAGCCCCCTCGGACATCATCTCCACTTTCATGTTGAGGTCCTGATTCTTTCTTTGGAGGTCCACAATCACGGAATTCAGGAAATCAATCTGTGTTCAAGGAGAGCGTGAGACGGTGAGCCATCTGCGGGAGCCATGGGAGCCCGCCACAGAGGAGGCTGGGCCCCGCTTCCAGTCCCCGCCCCAGGGTTGGAGGCAGCCAGAGCTCCCCTTTCCCTTCCTGAGCGCAAGCTCCCGGGTGCCCAGGGAAGACCCCAGGAGGAGATGCTGGTACCCCTTGGTTCCTCTAAGAGCAGGGAGACAAAGACAGACTCACTTCTTTCAAATGAATGGGGCGGGGGGAAATCCCACTTTACAAAAGTAAGCATGACTGTAGGCACAAACATTCATGTTTCACTTGAAAACTGGCGGGCGCATTGGGTCTGAGTGATAGCACAGCGGGAAAGGTGCTTGCCTCGCACGCAGCCAACCCAGGTTTGATCCCTGGCATCCTATTGGGGCCACCGGAGAGCAGCCAGGAGTGATTCATGAGTGCAGAGCCAGGAGGAAGCCTGGAGTATCGCCACGTGTGGCCCCCAAAGAAAGTGTAAATAAAACCAGAAAAACAGACTGATTCTTTTTCTCCCTCAGGGCAAGTTCTGATGGCCAGTCTCTGAGAGTGCCCAGGCCATCCCACACTACAGCCAAGAAACACAGATCTCTCTTCCTCCAGCTGAAACAAAACAAAACAAAACAAAACATGGAAATGTTCAGTTCCCAACAAGCCCATACAGGGTCCACCTGCACAGCCCACGTGCAAAGTTCACTTCAGCCCACTGTTAAGTGCAGAAGTGCAGGAAGTGAGGGTGTGCGGGAACTCCTCAGGGCACTGGGACCCAGATGGTCCCCTTCCTTGGAGAGGATTCAAAGGATAAAGCGCTGCAGACCCGGGTGGGATGGAAGGGGGGTTGGGGAAGGAGAGACATCAAGGAGGCCCCAAGGCTGACTCCTGCTGCAGGCCAGACCCGAGCCTGGTGATGGTAGGTGCGGGCACTGGACTGCAGCCAAGTGTGCAAACCCCGGAGGACCCCACCCAGCTGTCTCCCTCGACAGGAGCAAGAAGCAGGAAGGCGGCCCAGAGGACCAGACTCCCCCAGCTCTGGGCCTAGAGCATGCGCAATGAGGCTGGGACAGCCACATGCTAGTGGGCATTTCCATTTGCGACTGAACCTTCCTGGCAGGGAAGAAGCCCTCCAAAGTGGTGTTCAACTCTGGCAAAGTGAAGATTTGCCAATGTGATGGGAGCGCGAAGCCCAGGTTCTGGGAGAGCAGCAAGAGGAAGGGCATTGGAGGGCTCTGGCAAGGACATGACCCCTTGACTGAAGGGATGTTTCCTTGTCCATGGGGCCTCTCACTCCTTAAGCATCACCTCTTGTGCTGGGAGCGTGTGGGGGTGGGGTTCCGGCAGCATGTGCGAGGCCCCTGGTTCTCATGGGCGCCAGGGGAGCACAGCCCCTCCTTCCTCAGCTTCCCTCTTTTTGGCTTCTGTTATTTTAATGAACCAATTAATTTGGGGAGGGGGCTTTTTGGGTCACAATCCGGCGTTGCTCAGGAGTGACTCCAGGCTCTGCACCCAGGAAGTACTCCTGGCGGTGCTTCGGGGACCATATGGGATGCCGGGGATGGAACCTGGGTTGGCCATGTGCAAGGCCAACAGCCTACCTGCTATGCTATTGCTCTGGCATCATTCTCGGATATTTTAAATGGTAGATATTCCCTGACTCTTTTGAAGCATACACGCATATATACATATATACATGTCTGTGTATGTATACATGCTTATCTAGAACCTTTGTGGGTAGTCAGTTTGGTTTGTTTGGGGGCCACACCCGGTGGGGTAGGGACTAAACCCTAGCTCTGTGCTCAGGGATCACTCCTGGCTAGGGTGGAACAGCTCAGGCTGTCAGCAGTCACTCGAGCCCAGGAAAGTGTGGCTGTGAGGTCAGAGGGCACTGGCTCACCTAGCACTGCACTCAGGAATTACTCCTGGCGGTGCTCAGGGGACCATATGGGATGCCAGGGATTGAACCTGGGAATTCGGTGTGTAAGTCAAACGCCCTCCCCGCTGTGCTATCACTATGGCCCAGGATATGGTTTCTCTCAGGGCTGAGGCCGGGCCTACACAGCCCTGGTCACTACCATCACCCACCTTACTCTGCATCATCGCGTTGGTGTTCCTGGTGTCCTCCAGGGAGACCAGGGCCTGTAGGGACGCCTCCCGCTCGGCCAGCAGCTCGGTCTGCTGCGCCTCCAGCAGCGCCTGGTCTTTCAGCAGCCAGTGCAGCTGCCGCTGGAGCTTAGTGGCCTTCTGGCCCAGCAGCTCCTTCTCGGCGCCAAGGCTGTTCAGCTGCTCACGCAGGGCCGACTCCACGCGGGCGGCCTCCTCCTTCTCAGCCTTTAGCTCCTCGATCTCTTGCACCAGCGACTTCTGCTCCCGAGCCAGCTCCTCGTAGGAGCACTGCAGCTTCTGGATGATGTTGTCCTTGTCCTTGGCCAGGGATAGGTTCTCCAGAACCAGCTTCTTGACATGCTCCTCCAGCTGGCCCCTCTCCTCCAGGCCCTTCTTGCACTCGGCCACCAGGCTGCTCTTGCTCATCTGCAGCTCCTCCACCAGGGCCTGCAGCCCCAGCTTGGCGACCTGCAGTGCGTCCTTCTCCGCGCCCACCCTCTGGAGCTCCTCCTGCACCGCCCTGCCCTCTTCCAGCACTTTCTCTTTCTCCGCCTCGAGGGCTTCTCGGTCCAGCCGCTCCTGCTGGCAGAGCTTCTCCGCGGCCCACCTGGCCTCGATGACCTTCTCCTTATCCAAGCGAATCGCTTGGTTCAACAGCCAGAGCTTCCTCTGCTCTTCCCGCAGCGAAGAGTTTTTGGCCTCCGCTTCTCTGAGTTGCAATTGAAACCACCCTCTCTCGGACTTCAGACAGAGCTTCTCCTTCGCCAGCAATTCATTCTCTGACCTCAGAGCCCTGCGATCCTCTGACATCAGCTCCATCTCTTCTTTGGCCGAGCTTAATAAGCAAGTTAAGGACTGCAGAAACAAAAAGCGGGGAAGAATGGAAACAAGAATGAGATCAAGTGGGCACAAGCAAGCCAAGCACTTCATGTGGCCTAAATACCAGAAATGAAAATGGCAGAGTAGTCTTACCTGCACACGCGTGTATACGCGCACGTGCACACACTCACACACACACACACGCACACACACGCAGGATGGAGAGGCTCAAACACAGTTAGGTTCTTAGGGTCAACATAACTACCTGCCTATTTTGTGGATGGGGGCCCCACACCTGCTGGTGTTCGGGTCTCGCTCAGGGTTCTGTGCTCAGGGATCACTGCTGGCAGGGCCGGAGGACCATACGGGATGCTGGGGATCAACCCCGGGTTGGCCGAGTACAAGGCAGTACCCTACCCATTCTACTATCAGCCGATTTGATTTTTGAAATGCCGTCTGAAATGTTTCCTGACAGCTCCCCGGAAGGTGTAAGTACAGTTGGATCTTGACATTGGGGCATAAGATTTTTCCCCCCACTTCAATTCTTCTATTATAAAATCCATCACTCTGTCCTAGAAGGGATGCATTCAAAAACTAGTTTTCAATACAATTCAAAGAACTACAAAAAGTATTTTGTTTTGGAACTTTGTGCAGGAGGGGAAGGGAAAAGCAACCACTGCTTGTCAAACGATTTTCACAGGGACAAACAGAGGCAGGAAATGGACTTAGTCCCAAAAGTTATCCACTTTATAGAAAATCCAGACGAATCCACCAAGCTTTGGAGACTGAAGCCAACAGTTTTTGCTTGCCAAACACAGTAACAAGTCTCAAAATGGAGACATTAGTGGGCCCGCTCGAGCCAATCGATGAGCAATGGGAGGGCAGTGTTTGCAGTCATTTGGGAGGGTCCGAGGGGCTCCAGGAGGACTGGCCGCACACGGGTCAGGGTCTCCCTCACCTGCTCTCCCTGCCCGGCAGCAACGGGTTGTGTGTTTTCAGTTCTGAGTCTCAATGCACACCACAGTTGAACCGCCATGTACTTTCCAGAACTTTCTGCAGCAAGGGCTATCTTCTCTGTCCAGCTCAGCAGTCATGAGCCGCAGCAGGCTACTGGCATGTGCTGGGAAGCTGACCGCTGACGGCCATGTTACCGGAATGGGACTGACCTGAGCATGCACACGACGCTGCTGGCCACAGAACTGGGCCGTGCACGTGGTCCAGAGAGGAGACGTAGCCCTGGCTGTGGTGCGTGGTTGAAAGAGGCCGGGCACCAACACACACACAGGCCACGGCCGCCACTCAGCAGCCCTGGTTTCCTCTGATGTAACCCCGCTTCCGTTTTCTTTCCATTGGCTTATAGATATGTATACACACATATACATACAAGCACATATATGTATACGCATACACATTAATATATAAACTATACATGATATAAAGCATGTAAAACTAAAAATGTATCCAAATACGTACATATGTATTCAAATGCACTTGTTGTATGTATATAAAGATGGACACATAGGTACATGTTATGTATACATTCTTTTCCTTTTTGTTTTGGGGTTCACACCCGGAGAGGTCACGGCTTCCTCCTGGGTGCTTGGGGGACCATGGGGGATGCTGGGGATCCCCAGTGGGTCACGTGCACAGCAAGTGCCCTCTTGCTGCACTAGTTCCAGCCGCTCTATTTCTCTCCACTGAGCCTCAAACCTTAACATTTCTCTGATACACACTAAAAAATGCCTTTGAGCAATCAAGTGAAAACACGAAGGCCTGAACTTACTGAACAAGCTCAAAACAAAACGGAAAACCCAAGCTGGGGTCCCTGGGCTTCCGCATGCTCTGCCGGGGGCCCCGGGAGCAACCCCCTTCCTGCTCTCACAGCCGCCGCCAGGTGGGGGAAGTGTCTGCGGATGCAGGCCGAGGCCCCCCAACAGAGCCCGACCCCGAGACGGCCGCCATCAGCCGCGGTGCTGCCCTGCGCCCACCCACCTTGGCCTTATCGGCTTGCGACTTCAGCTCGGCCACCTGTCGCAGCAGGCTCCCGTTCTCCGCCTCCGCTGCCTGCAGCTTCTCCTCCGCCTGCAGCAGCAGCTTCTGCAGGGCCTGCAGCGCCTCCTCGTACTGCCCCTGGCTCTCCACGCTGGCCTTGGTGTGCTCGGCCTGCAGAGCCTGGCACTGGCTGCGGCTCACGTCCACCTTCTCCTCCTGCGGGGAGCCAGGGGCCACCGTCAGCCGCCGGCCCCCTGCCCGCTTCCAGCACACACGCACACACATGAGCACACACACACACACAACGCAAACACACAAACATACACACCCGCACACACACGGCCCCTCTGCTCTGCTCACCAGCATGCACACAAAAAACACACATGCACACTCACACGCGCGCACACACACGGCCCCTCAGCTCGGCCGCTTTCGTTCAAGTTCTCCTGAAGACTACGAAGCGCTAGCCCCTTCCCCTGCAGCTCTTCGGCCAGGCTATCGGCCTACCAGAGTCACAAGGATGGAGTGAATGGACCAAGGAGACAAACAGGAATGGGAAGGGGAAAACAAAACAGAAAACACGTATGAGAAGCCCATGACCCAACACAACCCCGAAGAACAGAGGCGTGAGGTGAGTGTGATTGCCTGAAGCTCGTGAAGCCAAGGCCTTGGCGCCGGCAGTTCTGGTGATAACTGTCTAGTGGTTATTGAAACAGCCCAAACAGAGGCGTTTTCTAGACCTAACTTTGGAGTGACCAGAAAATAAGAAAGCCTTTGAGAAAGACTGACTTTCCAGGGGCGAGGAGACGGCACAAAGGACTGGAGTATACACCAGGCCCGAGTTGGAACTGCAGCACCAATGGGGGAAGTAAGCAAGGGAGGAGGGAGGCTAAGCATAGGAAAGAGGGAGGGAGGAAACAGGGAAGAAAGGGAAAGGGAGGGGAGGAAGGGAAGAAAAGGTTATCTTTTTTTTTTTCTCTTTTGTCCTTTTAGGTCACCCTAAGTGCTCAGGAATTTCTCCTTGGCAGTAACCCGGCCAGCTCACCGAGAGTATCTCGCCTGCACGGCAAAGCCTTCCAAGCTCCCCGTGACGTATTCGATATGACAAACACAGTAACAAGTGTCACAATGGAGACGCTACTGGGTCCGCTTGAGCTAATCGATAAACAACGGGAGGACAGTGACAATGACAGTGACCCTATGGGATGATGGAGATCGAACCCACGTGGGCCGCATGCAAGGCAAATGCCCTTCCCATTGTACTATCATTCCGGCCCCCAAGATTTACTTTCTTGTAGTTTCTTTTCTGTGACTTTAAAAGTTTGAGGGGTTTCAATATGAAATTTAAAATGAAGACCCTCTAATACACTAGACAGCAGTCACCAGAACTTGACGTTTGTTACATCTTGATGCGAACAAGTGGGTCAGCTATCCCCTGCTGTGTCCTAGGAATTGATTCCATTTGTTTCAGCCGGTGTTTCTGGAATGCCAGCCAAGGAGTCCTGATTCCTGAGAGGAACTCCCGGGGGTCTCAGGGCCCTTCTGTTATGTCTGTCAGTCCTGTCTAGAAAGCCCACAGCCCTTCCATCTTGGCCAACAGAGAAGTTTCTCCAACAAAGTGCCCAGCGTGGGGGGCGCTGGGGGTGAGGGAGCGTCCCTGACACGACAATCCTATAGGAGGAAAAGGGCATCTCTCGAGGGAACTTGGTGAGAACTGCAGCTTCCTCGGCTTGGCCCAGATCTCACTGTCTCGTCCTTCCCCAGGGTCAGGGCTACCATGAGAGTCCATGCCCATGGCCAGCAGAGGGCCATGCGGGAAGGCGGACTTGGCCCAAGCACCCCTTAGAGGCTGAAAGGGATGAAATCTCTGCAGGGCTGGGTGGGGGCTTGTGCTGCAGGGAGGGAGGGGCTGGCAATGAGAAATACCAAGATGGGCCACGTTACCAGCCCTGAGGGAGCTCAGAGGCTCAGAGGCATCGAGCACCAGCTGGGAACTGAGGCGCCCCGGGGAGAGGAGGGCAAAGCCCGTCACACGAGCAGGTGGTCAGCAAGGACAGGGAAAGAGCCTCGCGGCCTGACTCGAGTCCAAGTGTCTGGGCGAACTCGGCGAGTATGCAGCGGGCCCAAGGGGCGGGGGCAGAGTTTGCTCTGGGGGCTCCTATCTTGTTTTCTCACTGGCCTCGTGAAGAATTCTCTGTTTCAGAAAGGCCCCAGACGGGCCCGATTAGCCGGGGCCATGGCTAGCACAGCATCCGGATGCTGGGAACCAATGACAGCCCCAGAATCGTGCCGACACCTTCTCAGTCCCCTCAGAGGGAACCGCACGGGACGTGACCGGGAGACCTGTCAGCACCAAGCCGGAACACGGCGGTGAACAGACTGACACACAGCATGCAGGGAGCGAGCGTGGAAGTGGGCAAGGGCGCCCGAGTACCAACCTGCAGCTCTCGGCCCGCTTTGCATTCTCTAACTCCTGAATCTGCCGCTCAGCCACCTGGAGCTGCTGCCTGAGCTTCTCCATTCCCAATTGACCTTCGGAACTGGCCTTCCAGAGCCCATCGAGCTGCAAGAGCTTCTGCTGGGTGGCCTCCAGCTGTGCCGTGGCATTGGCCAGGGCCTGGGCTTGCTGACTACACACGGCCCGCGACCCGTCCAGGTGCTTTACCTTCATCTCCGCCTCCTGCAGCTTGTTCAGGGCGTCCTCCATCTCCACCAGGTGCTGGTCCTCGATCTGCTCGAGCTTGGCCCGTGCGGCCTCCAGGCTGTTCTTCTGCTCCTGGGCTGTCCTGAACAGCCGCGACCTGAGCGTCTGCAGCTCGGAGGCATGCGCTGCACGCTCAGCCGCCTGCTGGGCCTTCAGGCTCTCCACCTCCTGCTGGTACTCGAACTGTAGCCTCTCGATCTGCATCTTGAGCTCGGCCAGCTCGGCCGCCTCGGCGCCCACGCCCTGGCTCACGGATGCCTTCGGCTTGCCCATGGCCTGTTGGTGCGGGGCGATGGCCGTCTCCAGCTTGGACTTCCACAGGGCGATCACGTCCGCATTCTCCTTGTTGGCATGGTCCAGCTTGGTCCTCAGGCCCTCGTTCTCATTGGCAAGCTTCTCAGAGGCCGCCTGCAGGGCCTTTACCTCCTTCTGGTGGGAAAACAAAATTTCCATGAACTTAAAACAGGCAGGAACAGAAGCAGAAATAGAAATTTTTTTTTCCAAACTGACTCTTTGCTTTTTCTTGTTTTAAGGAAAAGCTTCCAAAAAATGGGGTTCTAAAGGACTTGATTTGTGCTGCTCGACTGAAAATCAAAGCTGAGGCAAAGGCATAGACCCGACTGTCAGAACGAGAGAAAAACGCTCATCAAGAGCAGCCTCCAGCCCCAAGGAGCAGAGATGTGTCAGCCCGGCCCTGCCAGGTGCATGACCCCAGGTATCCCTGTCTGATTCGGAGTCTCCAGCAGAAGTGGTCCCGGCGGGGTCGGCCAGGCCGCCCCGCATCCTTGCCTGCACCCTGCAAGCCTCTGGGACCTGCCCGGGCTTTACCTCCAGGTTGCCTTTGGTGATGGACTCCTCCTCGACTCGGAACTGGAGGTCTTCCACTTTCCTGTGGGGGAGAGGGAGACGTTGTGAGGGGCGTCACTGCTGCCCCCCATGAGGGCCACCATCTTGTAGATGCGCCTGACCCAGCCCCCGGCTCCACACACAGGAGGGCTGAGAGAGTCGGGGAGGGCCAGAGCGAGAGTACAGCAGGCAGGGCGTTTGTCTTGCACGTGGCCGACCCGGGTTCAATTCCCAGCATACCACTATGGACCCCAGAGCAATGCCTGGAGTAATTCCTGAGTGCTGAGGCAGGAGTAACCCCTGAGCATCGCTAGGTTGACCCAAAAAGAAAAAAAAAGAAAGTCAGCGAGTCCCCTCAGCTTCGAACACTGGGTGGGACCCACAGGCTACAGGAGGAAGCTAGGCCGAGCAAACGCCAGGTGCAGTGTCATATCAACCCTTTCTGCCTCGCAGCTAACAGAGGTGGTTAAAAACTGACCCGCGGCGCATGCCAGTCCCTCGCAGCCAGCGCCTGTCCCCACATTGGGACAACAACTGAGCCCCTAAGGGAGAAGCAGCCAACGACTCGGGGGCAGGGGCGGGCGGAGGGGCTCCCAGGGGACGTGTCGAGTCGGCATGTGGAGCTGAGGAGCTGAGCCAGGCACTGGCAGTGCCCCTGGGCACCACACTGCCGGGAGCCCATCTGAAAAGGCAGTCTCGGCTAGCACCCCGTGTCCATCTGTCTGCAGCCAGGCCTGAGCCCCGCGTCCGCCTGTCTGCAGCCCGGTCTGAGCCCCGTGTCTGTCTGTCTGCAGCCTAGTCTGAGCCCTGTCTGTCTGCTGTCGTGCCCCATGGGTACTGTGGGTTTCCTCCCGACTGGGACTTAACCACAGGGATTCCCAGAGGGCCCAACTGGGTTAGGACAGTTCCTTGCCACCCAGCACAGGCCTCCTGAATACCAGGCCAGGTGGACACAGCAGGGAGGGCCGGGGGTGGCTTGGCTCCACTGAGCTCCCCCCCGCAGCCCTCCCGGTGAGGCCGTGCTCAGACTGGGCACCCGTTGGTTTCTGGTTCTCACAGCCCTGGAAGGCCAGGAGTGCCCCACCCGAGGGAGCCCCCAGCTCCGGGCACGGCCTCACCTCTTCTCCTCCTCCAGCTGTTTCAGCAGCTCCACCTTCTCCCAGTCGGTTGCTTCCAACATGGCCCGCAGCTCGTCGTTCTTGGCCTCCAGCTCCAGAATGTGCTGTAGAAGCAACGGTGCGTGAGTGGCCTCGCCTGCCCCCGACAACCCTCTGTGGGCTGGCACCGCCACCTGTCACCGCGGCAAGCTGAACGCATCTCCCACCTAAGCTGCGGTGTTTCTGGAAGGCCAGAGGGGAACCACACCACAAAAGCACCGGCGCGGACAACTCGGCACTCCCTATACCCCCACGGAGCGAGTAGAAGGAGCATGCGATCAAACCACGTGCCGGACGCCACCGCAACGACGGCAGACAGGGACCCACCGCCTCACCCTGCACCGCCTGCACCAAGCTCACGCCCAGCCTCTACCGCAGGCGTCTCTCGGCCCCGGCACTGCTATCTGCACAGACGTCACCTGGTCGTGCCCGCACCGGCCAGGGCCAACTCCTGCTCTATCTCCCCCACGTGGCTTGTGGCCATGGCCACCTCCGCCCGCTCCAGGTCCCGCTCAGCCAGCAGCTTCTCAATGTGCTGCGGCTTCTCCTTCAGCGCCTCCTGGAGGGCGGTGGTGCTGGAGATCTTGTGGGCATAGTGGAGGAAGTTTCTGGCAATTACAAAGGAAAAAGAGACATGAAGGGGATGGGGGCGGCTGACACGGGCATGCACGCGGTGATCCTCGGCAAAGCACATGGAGCAGTGCTGCATCCTTGCATATGGGCCAGCGACTCTTAGCAGAAACGTCTTGAAACCTTCCCGAAGATCCTTGGACGGGACCTGGGCTCCACTGACCTCGGGCCTCGTGGGAATCCAGAGACTCTTCTGCAGAGCCGGAGGCAGCCCCCTCCACAGCCTGCTCTGGCCTGAGCTTTCTTAAGGCTGCGCCCTTGGCTTGATCTTGAGGCCAGCTCTAGCATCTTCAGCCTTGCAGGTCCGTCAGTGTCTCCCTGGGCAGCCTGTCCCTTCTCTCTTCCTCTTCCTTCCAGCTCACCTCGCTCTCCTGGGCACCCGCCCCATGCCTGAATAGCAGTAACCAGAGACTCTAGTCTCTGGGAATGGCCCCGTGCCCCCGAGGGTCACTGGGTGTGACCCTATAAAAGACCCCTGTGCCATCTGCCTTCGAAAATGGGGGATGAGAGGCTAGAATGATAAAGTTGCAGGAAAGGCTCTGGCCTTGCACGCCGCTGACCTGAGTTGGATAACAGGTACCCACCGCAGAGGGTCCCGAGCCCACCAGGAGTGACTCCGGAGTGCAGAGTCCGGAGTAAGTCCTGAATATTGCTGGGGCATGGCCAAAGTCCAGGGAAAAATAAGGAAAAAGTGGTGGGTGAGAATGTGTGAGGGCTCACGCCCAGCGAGCAGGACAGCAAGGGCAGCTCAGGGAAAGACCAAGCACAAAGGGAAGGAGAGAAGAGGCAAAGACAGTGAGGAGGGGAGGGGAGTGGGCTGAAGGGCTGCGGGGACCGGGGGTCCTGTCCGTTCTATCCTGGGCTCGTGGTCGCTCATGGTCGCTCTGCAGACCCAGATCCCTCTCTGCACAACGGCCCCTGCAGGAGGGGACAAGGCGGGACCTGATCTTCATTTTTCGGGCACACGGTGGCGGGGGCTGCGGCAAGGGTGGCCAGGACTTCCGCTCCTGCCCGGCCATCCCTGTTCTATCGCCCTGCTGCGGTCCAGCCGCAGGTTCTCTTGCTGCTTCCCCGTATCGTCTGAGCTGCTGCCAAACGCCTCCTGACCGACGGGCCCAACAGGGCCCAGTCTGTCCTCTGCTGCTTTGCCTGCTGGGAGCTCTCGAGCCACCTGGTATTGTCCGGAGAGCAGGATCATCCTTGCCTCTGCGTAAGGACCTGGCCGTGATTTCCCGATACACTTAAAGTATATCTGGTCCGATTAAATGCCGTCCCCAGGGCCAAAGAGTCTGTTGGGGGGGGTGGGGGAAGGTGCTTGCAGAGGTTCAAGATCCAGCACCATCAGGTGTGACCCCACCCCCCAAGCAGAGAGCCAGGAATAAGCCCTGAGCACCCCTGGGTGTGGCTCCAAAACAAAATAATAACTAAAATTTCTAGGAGCACACGAGCTCTCGGGCCAGCCATGTGCAGTGCTCCCGGGAACTGCAGTCAACTCGGATTTCAAGGGGTGGCTGGGAAGAGCTTGGCAGCCTTGGGGGTCTAACACCAAGACCCGGGCTCAACCCCCCTCCACCGGGAGTAGCCCCCAAGCACCACGCCTGGAGTCCCTGAGCACTGCCATGTGAATCCCAAAGAGCAAAAATAAAAACTAGGAGAGGCGGGCAGCGGTGTTCCCTGAGCCTCCTGACCTGAGCGGGAGGGGCAGGCCAGACGCATGTGCTTCCTGGGCCCGAGACAGCTCCCTGAGGAAACCAGCACAGGAGCGCTGGGCTTCTTTCAGCCAACCATGGAGACGAGACTGTGAGGTTCAGGCGCCGGAGCAGGGAGAAAGCAGCACCCCTGGCATGGGGGGAGGCGCGCGCTGAGGGGCTGGGCAAGGTCGGGGCCACGAGCTGAACTCAGGATGCTGATGCCAAAGCCTCTGCCCGGCGCGTGTGTGTAAGGCCCCAGGCTCCATCCCAGCAAGGCCAGACCCTCTGTGGGAGCCTGGTACCTCAGAAGAGCAACTCAGCCAACAGATGAACCCGGGAGGCCTCCACAGGTCACGCACGGACCTGTGTGCATGTATGTATGTGTGCATGTATGTTCCAGTGGGCATGTCTACACGCACCTGTGTGCAAGTGAGCGTTGTGTTTATGCATGTATGTGCCTGTGTGTGTATACCCATAAGCCTGTGTATATACGGTATGCACTACGTGTACATGTATGAGTGACTGTGTGTATGAACGCTTGTGTGTGCACTTATGGAATTATGTTGTCGAGGTATACTTCCGTGAAGTCACACAGAATCTTTTTATATTCCTGTCATAGACGCTAACGGTGATGTTCAGTTTAGGAGTGAGCTCCACCCTGCATAAAGATATGCAATGCAGGGGCCAAAGAGCTGGAGAGCGAAGCCCCAGTGCTGCCCAGGCTCAATCCCGGAGGCCCGCCAGGAATAATCCCGAGCACAGAGGTGGGAGAAAGCCCTGAGCTCTGCCAAGTGTGACCCCAAAAGAGAACAAAACAAGACAGCGTGGGGAGGCTGGAGATACGTCTCAGGCGTAGGGTTCTTGCTTGGAGGTGGGAGGCCCCGGCACAACCCCAGCACTGCAAACGGCCCCTTGAAGCACTGTAGGGTATGGCCCACAGTCAAGCAGAAAAACAAAACCAAGCAAGACAGGACTGGCCCCAGGCCTGTGCCCACGGCGCGTGGCCTCCTGGCTCCCGTTCCCGTGACATCTGTTTTGTATCTTCCGTTGCACACACACTCACTCCCTCCTCTTCCGTATCGAAGGTCAATGCACGGAGCAGAGGCGGCGGCAGGAAGCGCAGCCCCCAGCAAAGCCAGCCCCCCCGGGACACCCTCTCCATCGTGGGCCCGTTTCCCTGTGGACAATATCTCAGGATACCCTTGCATATTCGGACACACTTTAGTGTTTATGACTCAGATAGACGTGAGGGGAGAAGCCACGAGGCCCCAGCTTTGACTTGCGGCCCCGCAATGGACAGAAGTCCAGGCCACTCTGCATGTCGACAGGGGTGCAGAGGGACAGGAGGGAGCAGGGAGAGACAGAGAGAGCAAAGAAGAAGACGAAGCGCCAAGCGTTCCCCAGAGTCTCTGGGCCCTGCTCTGACCCTCAGCGCCCCCTTCAGCTACCCCACTTCATCCCTAAGGTGGCCTGAGGCCAGAGAGGAGCCCTGAGCACCCCAGGAAAGGCCCATCCCTGCTCCTGTCACTGGTGGTGGCTGGGAAGCCACTCGCCTGCCACCCGGAGCTGCTCAGCCCACGTGCTCCTGCTCCGCCTCTCGCCCCTGGGGCTGTGGGAGTCTGTGGGGGCCCGAGCACCCCGCAGTGGTAGGGGGCTGCTTACTAGTCCCGTGCGGCCGGATCTGCTGCTCTCGAATGAGGCCCCGGAGCTGACGGAGCTGAACGAGGAGGCCGAAGGGCTGCGCTTCAGGCTGGCGGGGGTGGTGGCCATCACACGCCTCACGGCGGCCACCTTGCCCTTGGCCGGCGTCGTGGACGGGAAGCCGATCTTGGTGACTTTGTGAATGGGAGCAAACAAGCCATACTTGGGCTGACACTGGAAGTACCTGCGGACAACGAGGAGGGGGGGACAAAAACACCTTCGGCAAGAGACACAAGCGCCGACCCAGAAGTCCACTGAGTCCCACAGTCTCACACCCCCACAAACGAACAAGCTCCCACAGCCCCACATGCCCACACACTCACATCCCGACAAACACACTCACACACACACCCCAACCAACACTCCCACATTTCCACAGCGCCACGCTCACACTCACTCCCCAACAAACTTCATACCCTCCACCAGCCCACACTCACAACCCAACAAACACACACACCCTAACCAACACTCCCACACATAAACACCACAACCAACACACACTTACACTCACACCCCAACCAACACTCCCACACTTCCACACTCTCACAGCCCAACAAACACACTCACCCCCAACCAACACTCCCATACTCTCACACTCCCACCCATCAAACACACACACTCACACCCCAACAGACACTCCCACATGTCCACAGCCCCTCACTCACACACACTCACTCCCCAGAAACACTCATACTCACACCCAAACAAACACACACTCACACTCACACCCCAGCCAACACTCCCACACACCCACAGCCCCACAGTCTCACACACGCACACCCCAACCAACATTTGCACACTCTCAAACCAACACTGACACGCTCTTCACTCCCCCACAAACACGCTCACACCCCCACCAACACTCTCATGCCCACGCCCCCACCAACACTCAAAGCCCCACACTCACACGCTCACATACACACTCCCTCATACATTCACACCCACACTCTCTCCCACGCCGCCCACCCCCACCACGCAAACCAAGGGCAATTCCAAGCAGCCTCCCCGGCATCTGAAGGGCGACAGCAGGCCCGAGGGGTTCCTGTGGCCAGAGCACAGCTGCATGTGGGAGCCCTGGGCTGTCCCCACATCCCTGCAGGGTCCCCGAGTGCCACTGGAAGTGGCCCCGCCTAAGAACCAAGTGAAGTGGCCTGCAGTCCCCTCAGCGCCTCCCGGGCACCGTGCATGGCCCCAGGCTGTCTGGGGGGGCAGGGGGACCCACCTCGTTCCGGCCACGGCACCATCGTTCTTGCCCAGTGGCTTGTCCAGCTCTACGCCGCACCAATCCCCCTTGGCGAAGTCCGTCTCCCCGAGGAAGCGCACCACACCGGCCTCCATGCCTCCCACCTGCCGGAGGGATGAAGGGACATGGGTCAGGCACCCTGGACTGCGCACAGTGCCCCCACCCCCGCAAACGAACATTCTGGCTTCAGAGTCGGGATTTCCTGAAGAAACCCCAAAGGTTAAGGTGCCATTTCCCCCCGCAACCCCTACAGGGTGAGCAGACGCTGCTGCTCAGTGTCCATGCAAGGCAGCGACATTCACACCCACTCGCTGTCATCGGTGGCCTGGCTGACCACACCCCCGGGAATCTCTGACCCAGGCCAGCCACCTGGTGTGGCGAGGGGGTCGCTGCCCCTTGGGTGTGGGAGCGGAGCACTGGCAACCCCACCGCTGGAGAACAATTAAGCCAGAAACCAGCAAAAGGAAAATGACTGTTCTCGTATCTTAGCAGAGTTCGATCTTCCAGTTCTCCTTCACTATGCCTTGGCTTGACGCTTGGCTCCCGGGACACAGAGCAAAACAGAATCACAGTGCTGGACACTGACAGGAATGCTGACAAACAGGGCTGGAGCACCGGGGGAAGGGTGCTTTGTGTGCGACCACCCTGTGACGCCCCAAGCAAAAACATCGAAAACCAGAGAAATAGAACCGATTTCCAACTTTGTTCATTGGTTTGTTTTTGAGTCACATTCAGAGTGCTCAGGGCTTACTCTTGGCTTGGTGCTCACGGATCACTCCGGGATGTGCTTGGGGGACTGTACATGGGACCAAGACTTAAACCCCGGGTCAGAGGCGTGCAAAGCATGACCCCTCCCCACGGCATGACCCCTCCACCCTGTTTTGGCTAAACTGGTAAACTGGCAGCATCCCCGCACGCATCCATCACGCTGGAAACTGCAGGACCAGGCGTCCCGGCTGCTCGTGCTTCCACCCAAACCGCGAGTCTGGAGGAGCTGATGAACCAGACAGGTTGATGGACAGCCACCCGCGACCGCTGCCCTTGGCACTCACCAGCACCTGGTCCCCGAGCTTCAGCTCCCGCTCCCCTTTCTTGAGGGAGCCGGCCTCAGAGAGGTTGGAGATGGACTCGCTGGCCGTCCTGGTCAGGCTGCTGATGTGAGGGGTGGCCGGTGACTCCTTCGCGGGGGACTGGGGCACCTTCGTGGTGCCGGCAGGGGCCGGGGAGGCCGACAGGGGCGGGGTGGCCCAGGCGGCAGGCGCTGGCTGCCGGCAGTTGGTCTCATCGTCCGCCTGGAAGCTCCTACTCAGCTTGGACGGCCGGGTGAAGATGCCCTTCAGCGGCTCACACTGGAAGTAGCGCACACCCGCCACCGAGCCATTGTTCTTGCCGATGGGCTCGTCCAAGACGATCCCGGCCCACTGACCAGGGGCAAACTGGGTCTCCCCGAGGAACTGGATGAATCCAGGCTTGTTCCCGTTCACCCAGACTCGTTCCCCGACCTGGAAGTCGCCCACAAACTCCTCCTGCATCTCCGAGGAGGGGGCGCTGGGGGTTTTCTCCCCAGGCACGGTCTTCTCAACGGGAGCAGCCGCTGGAACAGCAGAAAGGGTCAAAAGGGTCAGACGGGACAGGAAGGGCCTGTGCAGGTCCAGTTAAAGTGTGGTTGGGGGAGAGGGACACCCAGCAGTGCTCGGGATACTCCCAGCCAATGACGGGGGCTGCTTGTGGTGAAGCCTGGCCAGGCCTGCCGTGAAGGGGATGTGCTCACCAACCACAGCATCCCAGGCCGGAGTCATACTTTGGGCAGCTCAGGGGAAATCTTTGGACACACCCCGTGATGCTACGGACCAAGCCAGGTGAAAGCTGGAACCAAGTGTCTTATTTCTGCTGTATCCACTGGCCCATTTGTTTTTCTTGGGGGGGGGGAGCACCCCAGCCAGTGCTCAGGGCCTATTTCTGGTTCTCCGTTCAGGGTTACTCATGGTGAGGTTGAGGGTGGAGAGTCACATGGGGTGCCAGTTGCCCTCCCCACTGTACTGTGACTTTGGCCGGCAATGAGGCCCTCTAGTCCAGGTGAGTCCACCTCCCTAAGCCTGTCCCCAAGCCCGGGCAAGGGAGCTAGCAGTTAGAAGGGAGCGGGTTGGTCGCCTCAGCTGTCACCGGTTGCCGTGACACTAAACTCACAGAACGTGACACTCGTGTGTGAGAGCTGTCCCCAGAGCCACGAACGTGTCTACAGCTCAGCAAGTCCTTCCCGGGCGAGGACTCGGGATGGGGTTCCCGGGTAGGAATGAGTCTCCCCTGGCCTGGGCTGAGCGCACTTACTGGCCGAGGGTGCCTTCACGGCCCAGCTCCCATGCTTGAGGATCTTGGTGGGAGCCTTCAGCCCGCTGGGCCTCAGCAGACTCATGGTCAGGCGGTCAGACGCTGCCGCGGCCACTACCAGGCGCCGACCATCGAGCCCACTGTGGGGCCTTCTGAGGCACACTCGTTCTCAGGACTAAATCTCTGAAGAGCAGAGGAGAGAGTCTGTCTCAGGTGAGCGACCACAGCAGCTTCCGGAGCCCAGAGAGCTGCCAGTCTGGCACTCGCCACCCCGAGTGCGACCCCCAGTATCCCGCACAGCCCCCTGAGCCCACCAAGTGTCATTCCTGCGCAAAAACTCAATCCAAAACAGACAAACAAACAACTGCCGATTCGGGGCCAGAGAGCAGAGGGGACAGGTACTTGCCCTGCTGGCAGCTGACCTTCACACCCTCCCTGGCATCATTCCCACCACCAAACACATTCAGGAGCCAGAAATCATCCCTGAGCACCGCGAGTGTCACTGACCACCTCCCCGTCCAGACACTGACTAGCCGGGAGGCGACTCAGCAGTGATGGCTGGTCTTGTGTGTGCGTGTGTGCGTATGTGTGTGTGTGAGAGGCCCGGGGTTACACGTAGAAGCTAAGGCAAGCAACAGGCACACTTTTTTCTATGGGCTGAGAACTGCCTGGGAAAAGGGCCCAGCAAGACTGCGCCAAACGGGGGCTGGAGAGCGATAGCACAGTGGGAAGGGCATTTGCCTTGCACGCAGCCGACCCAGGTTCGATTCCCAGCATCCCATATGGTCCTCTAAGCACTGCCAGGAGTGATTCCCGAGTGCAGACCCAAGAGTAAACCCTGTGCATCACCAGGTGTGACCCAAAAAGAAAAAAAAAATTGTGCCAAAGGGGAGCGAAGTAGGTTTCGGCCTTTCCTTCGTTCCTTGTGATGCTGCCTAGGTTGGATAACCACAAGCCAGTATTAACTCCATTTCTTAACCCACAGAACTGAGGCAGACAGGTAGATGGGGGAAGCGTCCCCATGGCAATGGAACTCTGAGGAAGTCAACAAAACTTCATGGCCACCAAAAGACCATCTGAGGGCACGGGACCCAAAGTCTGGTCAAAATTAACCCACATTAGGAGGCCCAGAGCAGGCTGGACCCCCGAGGGAATAGGAACAAAGGCCAGGGAAGGAATTTCTAAGAGGACCATGGACCACTCAACTCTACCCCGTTGGCAACCACCCTAGCAACGGACTCTAGGTAGCTAGAAACTCCCACAAGAGGCAGCCTGGGGAAAACCCTAGATTAGCCACCTTGAACCAAGGGAGGGCGTTCATGTGTGCCCGAGCCCAGGTACTGCTCTTGCCTACGAGGTTGGTCGTGTCACGGGCTTCTCCCCTCCTGAGGTGTGGACTTTCGGACCGAATGCAACCTAGCAACATAACATGTTCAGTGGCTTTCTGCACCTCTGGAGAAGCCTCACTCTCTGTCAAGCGTGTTACTCCCTCCCTCCTTCCCCTTCCTAAAGGCCTCCAAATAAATTGTTTCTGCTTCATGCTCATCTCCTGAAATGCCTTTCTGTAAGAAGGACAAAGGCCCGGGGGCCTGAGGAGGTCGAGGATCGACTCCCTTTCCCTGAAAAGGACAACCCCTCACTCCGGGCCAAGACCCCAGGAAGGCCTAGTGGGCGTCATGGGGCTGGCGGGGCTCATCGCACTCAGCAGTGCCAGCGCTCCAGCCAGTCCCGGGGGAGTGATATCTTCTCCTGTGCTTCTCATCAGTCCCCCATGAGGGCCCACTGACTTCAGAGTCATTCCATATTTCAATAGAGAAGTCCACAAGGGGCAGAGAGGCAGGAGAGTGGGGAGGGCACTTGCCTTATATCCAGTTGTCCTGGGTTCGATCTCCGTCAGCACAGGGACGTTAGCCGGCCAGGGTCACCCCTGGGCACAGCCAGGTATGGCCACCCCACCCCACCCCACCCCCACCCCACCCCCAGCCCACCCCAAAAAAATATATATATAACTAGTAAAAAAACTTAAACTAACTAAAGATTAAAAACTATCATACACTAAAGAACTGTTAGAGAAAAAAGCCGCCCGCACGCGGGCAGAAAGCCCAGAGACTCAGATTCACCTGTGTCACACTGCACTCGCAGCTTCAGTACTGAGCTCTGCCAAACAGGCTCGTGCCAGTCTCGTGGAGAGACTGAAAATGGCAGTTGGAGTCTAGAATGTTCTGAGGTAGAAGTAGAATTCAGCAAGGAGGAGGGCATCATGGGCCCTTCTTAAATGGGCAGGCGCCACCCTTCGTGACGCCAGTGTCTGGCTGAGGCTCCGGAGGGCTGCCCTGCAGATGTCAGCACTACGTGGCCAAGGAGCCTCTGGTCCCTGCGGGGCCCAGTTCTGGACCCCCGGGTGGTTTCAGAAAACTTTTGACAAATGTTTGTCAGTTACAGATCTCCAACTGAGGTCATTCAGCATCCCCCGAGTGGGACCTGGAGCCAGTGACCCTGCCCAGGGCCCTCCTCAGGAACCGGGCCAGGAAATCTGTGAGGGGGGGGGCAGGCGGGGGCGGGCAGAGCAACAGGGCAGAGGCCCTGAGCCTGACCCTGAGAGCCCTGCTCTCTGTGACCCCAGTGCTGTGAGCAACACCGGCCGCATCGTGTCCAGGGAGTGGCCCAGCCCACTAAGACCTGAGAGCTGTACAGAGGAGTATGGCCTGGCCTGCTCCGGATGGGAGCACAAGCTGAATGAGTGCGGGTCCCCTCGAGGATGAGTGAGCTGGAACTGGGCAGTGGGGGGGAGGTGGGGAGGGCGGAGTGACCTAACCTGGGGGCTGAGGACGGGACACCTGATGGTGCTCAGGGCTGACTCTGATCCAGTCATGGGAGCTCATCCTGGCAGGACCTGGGTGGGAAGGGACGTACAGGGTGGGGTGGGGTCAGCCACAGGCAAGGCAGGCTTTGGCCCTGGGCTACCCTTCCAGGCAAGGATACCTATTTTCTTTCTTTCCTTTTGTTTTTTGGGACACTTGGCAGTGCTCAGGGTTACTCCTGTGTCTGCACTTGGGAATCACTCCTGGCGGTCCTCAGGGGAACTATGGGGTCAGTCATGCACCAGGCAAGCGCCAAGTCTTCATGTCAAGGTGCCCACGAAACACAGTGTGCAACAAGGGACTCTACAGAGAAAGATAGGGCCAGCAAACGCTACTTGAAAATCAATCAATTCTGAAAAAACAGAAAAAAGATGCAAAAGGAGGGGCTGGAGTGAGAGCACAGTGGGGAGGGGTTTGCCTTGCTCACGGCTGACCAAGATTCGATCACCAGTCCTGAGCACTGCCAGGAGTAATTCCTGAGCATCACTGTGACCCAAAAAGCCAAAGAAAAAGAAAAAACAGCGCGAAAGAAAATGTGTTTGAGCCTCACTGTCTCCCTGAGACTTGAGCACTCAGTGCCGTGTGTGAGCCTAGTAGAGTCTCCGGCCTGAACAAGCCCTCATCCCCCCACCCCCATGCTCCTGTGTTTGGACCCTGACCCTAAATCCTGTGATGGGACCACGTGTGTCCATGACAAAGACGCTAGCAGGCTTACGCCCTGGAACGTCCCTGCTTCACACAGGCGTGGCACACGGGTCCTGGCCTGCTAGCGGCCGGCAGTGATTCGGCAGGAAGCAGAAGTGTGAGCCTGAACGTGGGTCAAGTCCGTTCCTTCAGCTTGGAGGGGAGGAATGTACGAGAGGGGGTTTTGAGCACTGCCTCACAAGTTGGAGGTCGTGAGTCCAAGCCCCTGGAGTCAACCGTGCACCTGGCACAAAGCCGGCACAAACCCGGCAGCTCTGCTGTCCCAGCACCACGCAGGAAGGGGGGTGACCCCAGGGGGAGGGCCACCGAGAGAGGAGGGGGACACCACAGAAAGGAGGAGTGAACACAGGGCAGGAGTTGAAAGCTGCAGGGCTGGGAACACCGGGCACAGAGCAGCCCAGGGGAGCAGGAGGCCAGGCGGGCGCCCTTGTCACTGGCCACTCGAGGCAGTCGCACAAGCCGTGTGCAGACCCACGAGGCTGACAAGGTGCCAGGGATGGGGAAACCCCAGCAAGGATTTTTCTTTAAGTTTTGGGCCTTGGGGCCAGAAGTCTAGTACAGTGGGGAGGGCATTTGCCTTGCACACAACTGACCCGGGTTCAATCCCGGCATCCCATAGGGACCCCCGAGCACCTCCAGTA